AAAATATACAAAATATACATAATTTTAAGGACGAGACTTTGTTTCTTATCGAAAAGATCAAAACACAAACACAGAATGTATAAGTTCTGCACGTGCATAAGTGTACCATTACACCCCTAGAATCATTTAAAACACCAAAACTGCACTTACCTGAATAAGAATGTGTCTGGGCAAAAAGGCTGTTGCTGTAAATAGGGAGCTTTTTCATCATCTTCTTCTTTTCGATTGAAAGAGGAAGCAGAGCGGGAAATAATGGATATATTTTCAAAATTTTTGTAATCCACCAATAAGAATAAGGGAAGACACAAAGCAACCAATAGCATTTTTGAATGGGCTGGGGTGTGGACTGCCACTAACCTGCCAGCAGTTTATATGTGTTTTTCCAAATAAAAGCCAAATGTTAACCATAAGTTAACATATTCCATGGTGTGCCATAGCCAAGCCACATATGGCTCTCAGTTGTGTGCTATCATCTGGGCCATATACCTCAAAAAAATTGTCATCCAAAAGAAAATTCCCTCCAATTCTAAATCCATGGCAAAACATATACGGTTAAAGTTTGGCCCATATGTGCTCAGCCATGCCACACCTAGGCCAAATGTGACAGCTATCAGCCACATTTGGCCCAAACGTTCTTGCTATCTGGGACAACGTCAGTTTACAACGTGTTTTTGTAGCATTGAGCAATGTAGCCAATCACATACATATCTGTTGATTTCCTGAACATGTATGATTGGTCATTCACTTCAGGTTTCAGAATTCACTCACTGCTCAAACTTTTTTTTAGAGTTCTGCATGCTCTTGATTTCTTCTCATAATAACAATTCACTAGTTCGCACGTACATATAATAAGATTTAGCAAATAGTAAGCATATTTGGCATGCTGTCTTGAAGGAGGGCTCTGAGCTCGGAATATAGCCGGAACCCAGAGAAATACCCCTAGCAATACTTTTAATGTTTGTTTCTAATATTACAATATTTTCAATTGCTAATGTCTAGGTTATCATGTAAATATGCAGCTTGCTGATGAGTGGACGAAAATAAAATATAGAACCTATGTTGAAGTGCTAATGTTTATGGTTGCAAAGAGTGTAGCCTACATAGCTTCGAGCGCTGTCTAAAGATATAAATATAGATGGGCCTTTATATGCGTGTGAAATGACACTCCTCTCCCTGTTCAGCTTACTTGGACCTTGCTCGTTAAAGAACTAGTTTAAATTCACAGCTTCTGTTGTACATTTAAAGTGTACTTTTACAGAGCAAATAACGAGAATGTGCATTTTTAATTGTTAAGTAAATTCCTTCGCTGTCACTGTCTCACACACTCTTGGGTTAAAAACCTTCTTGCGAACTTGCTAAACCGCTGCGCAATATCGAAGAAACCGCATGGGCTTCTCAACACAAGGCTGATGAATGACTCCTGAAGGTTAGAAGATGATCGCTGATCGCTGACTTCTGTGGATGTGAGAGCGCGTGTCTGGCAGGAGCGAAGTTCACGGCGCGCTCCCGCGCTGGAGATCTCCGTGCCGTCTCCGCCTGTCCACCCTAAACGCGCTTTGTTTCGCGGGACAAACGCCATACAATGGAAAGGATCTATAGGTAAGATCGTAAACTACAACTATAATTGCCAATGATGTTTTAATTGACCAATGATATGTATACTTAAAGTGATCATGTATCAAAAATTATTGGTGTTGCATCAAAAATGAGGTGAGTCAAAAGTCTTTTCAAACAGTGACAGAAGATTCATATAAACGGCCTGACCGTTTTTTCTTTTGTTTGAATTTAATTAAATTAAAATTCAGCTAAACCTTATGTTCGGTCTGTAAGACCCCACTGATTTATTTGAAATAATGCTTTCTTTGTTTCAGTGTAGCTCCAGTATTACACTGTGACTATAGTCCCAAAGTCGTTATTCATGTGTTGCTGCATCCATTATGCCATAAACATCAAATCCTGTAGACTTTCTGGAGTAAAATAAAGGATAGTAATGTGTTTAGGCTAATAACTGAGAATTGCAGCTCACACCATTCTGTGTCTTGGCAATGCTTTAGTAACACTTCACCTTTAAAACTTCAACTTTTAAAAAGAAATCTTTAACATATAATTCAGAACAGATCACATTGGGGTCCACAATTCTGAAGTTACAAAATGCTTCTATTTCACCTGCTTTTCTAATTTGGTGCAAGTTTAATTAGAAATTATAATGTCAACAAAATGTGAGTGTAAACTTCATCATCACCCATAATTTGAGAAAATTATATAACTCAATACAAATTGAATGATTTAAAAAATATTCAACTATATAATACAATTGTTTGTGCAAAGAATTCAAATTCACTTACTTTTTAGTGACCTAAAATCTGAATTATTTTTTATAACAAAATTTTAAAATCCTAAAACTTTTTGTTTACCACAGGATTAAATGAAAACCTGCACTCTTAAGAAAAATGGTTCTAAACATTACCAGAAAAGGGTTCTTCAGCTTGTAACAATAGCAGAACCATTTTTAGTGCTAAATAGAACCTTTTTTATAGGGTTCCATATAGAACCATGCTTTGAAAATGCTTTATAGGACCTTATTGGTGTTATAAATAACCTTTTTAATGATCGTTTTTCATTAATATTAGTATGTTAATATCATTAATATTAGTATTATTTGTATATATTATTTATTAATATTGTTTTTTACCCCTCTATCTGCCTGGTCTTATAATATCTTGAAGTGTCTATTAGGGTTTTACATAAAATCAAACAATAACAACAACGTGTCAATTAGGTACTTTTTTTTTAATGACGTGGTTGTAGCAAAAATCAAAGTGTTCTAACAACCGTTATTAGCAGAATACATTAATAAATGACGATGGACATTGAACATAAATAAATGCTTAAAGAAATAAAATAAAATAGAACATAAAATAGTGTATTGAAGACCAAGCTCCAGTGAAATATCTTTACAATCCTCTATGATGCCTTTAAGTTATGTCTCCTTTCATTTGTTTATGTGAAAACAGTTGTTTATGAAGGCCAAAAGTAGTATGTGAGCACTTCACAATGTTAAAAGGAAAAAGTAATATAAAGTCAAGGGATAGCTGGGTATGTTTATGCATAAACCCTAGTAATAATAAATATCTAACAAAATGGACCAAAAATTCAATATTTTTGTTACTTAGTGAAGAAGAGGAGAGTATCCTTAACTGAACAGAGCTGGTCACACTTACACATTCTCTTAAACTAAAAAGAGAAAAGACATAGGAAACCAATTAGCATTTGAAAGTTATAATTTATAGACATTTTAAGAAAGAAA